TTTAAAAAAATTATTTTTTAAATTAAAATACATTTCTTTTCTTTATTAAAAAATTTAAAAAACAAATATATATATATATATGAAAAAAAAAACAAGAGCAATGCTTGGAACACCACTCTCCAGCCAACACGTCCATTTTCATTTGGCCACGTTATGTTGATTTCCGAGAGGTCATCATTTCTTGGCTAAGCAACCTGTCAAAACCCTATTTTTAACTTTTTATTTTGTTAAATTTAAAGATTTTAATTTTTTATTTTATAGTATAATATTTTTAATCTCTTAATTTATTAGATTTATAAGTTTTAACCCCTCACCTTATATTATGATATTTTTAATTCCTTATTAAAATTAAAAAAATAACTCTCACTTTATAATATTTTGTTAATTTTGTTAATTGACTGTTAATTCTATTAGTTGATTGTTAGTTGTCAAAAATATTTTTTCAACTAACAGAATTAACAGAATTAATTTTATAATATTTTGTTAATTCTATTAATTAAATATTAGTTGATAAAAATCTATTTTCAGTTAACATAATTAACCGTAAGTATAAAATGAGAGTTATTTTCTTCAATTTTAATAGGTTAGGGGTTAAAATTTATAAATTTAGTAAGGTGAGGAATTAAAAATGTTATAATATAAGATAAAGGACTAAAACCTTTAAATTTGACAAAGTGAGGGGCTCAAGTAGGCTTTTACCAAGTAAGCTTAGGTGGCCCAATAAAAAAGCATGTGTTGGCTGGAGAGTGCAGGAGGCGAGTGCCCCTAGCAGCTAGCATCGCCCAAAAAACAGTTAGCACTACCCAAAAATCAACACCAATCACGTGTCAACATACTACCCATTAAAAAGAGTACCCCTCCATCCTTTCGCTTTCCTTGGATTCGCCTTATCATCTTCCTTCGTTTTCTACCATTTTTCTCCATTCAAGCTCGTTTTCTGATCCTTATCTACTCGTTGTTTTGGCAACAAATTTTATATTTCTTTGTTTGAGCAGTGAACAGCAGCAACCAAATCCTACCATGTAAGGCTAACTCCACATGATTTGGGTCACCAAATAGATTTCCATCCCGCCAGTGTCTGAGATGTGAGCAGTGGCAGTGAGCAGCGGCACGCCGGCACCGCAGCAGTCCAAAATCTTTCCCTCCCCTGCGGCAAATTTCTGGAAATCTCTTCTTCAATTTTTGTGAAAGTAAAATCGAGATTTCAAACGATTTTACGAAAAAATCGTGCTTTTACGTTTTTATCATCCGATTTTATGAAAGCCCGATTTTAAAGTAGATTTTACTCGAAATCTATACATAATAATAACATCGTAAAGTCTTATGATTTTACGATATAAAACTCGAGTTTGATAACACTGCCTATAGCAGTTGGGATTGCACTAAATATTTCTTAAACTTAAAATCTATTGTGATGATGTATTGAAGTGAATTTCTTTTTAATGGTTTTTGTTTTTAATAAAAAATAATTATTTTTTAGTTTTTATCTCATTTTATTTATATATTATATGATTTAATTTTAAAATTTTTTATTTTTTTTTAAAGAAAAAGAATTATTAAATTATTTAATTTGATTGTAATGAGTTTTTTTTTTCTTTTAATATTATGTTTACGAAAGTCATCATGTACTTAAAGCAAGAGTTTTGACAAGGAGTTTCCTGCCTAGTTTCAATAAAAGGATTCTATAAAAAATTTACTCCAATAATAAATCTCAAAATGTTAAAATTCACGAAATATTAATTTTATAATACTAATAAGTATAGTAAAGTAGTAATTTTCAAAGTAAATCTTTTTTTTTTTTAAACGATTTTGTCATGGGACGGGTTCGAAACCCGTCCAGGAGAGGAGAATGTGCACTTTTCAGTGGCTCTAGTCACTGGGCCACACGGACCAAGTGCTTTCAAAGTAAATCTTTTAATACTTCTAAACTTTTAAATTTGATAAATTTTATTAAGAGATTGATTTTTTTCAGTTTAAATTAAGTAGTTTGACTTATGAAAATAACCAAACAATTTTAATGAATCTAGCTACAAAAAGAGGTTTATTAAAAATATTTAAATATTTTTAATGTTCAAATTATACTTTTTTTTTATAATTGTGACTGACAAACATATGTTCCTTTTATTAATTTCTTATATCTATTACATTAACAATTAAAAAAAATCTACTACATTAGAATAATTTAAAATAATGATAAATGAGATTAAAATATAAAATTAATTACTTGATATAAATTTTATTTAAACTATTAAAAAATAAATTTATATTATTTAATAATTAATTTTTTTATTTTTTATTTTTAATTCATGATATTATATATATCAACTAATTTAATTATATAACATAAATTATATCATTTGTCCTCCCATCATTACTTAATAATTTATGATTAGTTCACATTATAATTTCATAATTATCCACTTCTTCAAAAGTCTTAAACTTCTTCCTATGGACCTGACCTCACCAGATTCCGACACCGTCCACACGCGCGCAGGCACTCACAGATAAGCCTATAAATATTCACACGCTACTTCCATCTTCCACCTTGCTGCTATAATAAAAAGTCTTCTCCATCAGTTAGGGTTTACTTGCGCAGCGTACGGATCAATCAATCCTCCTTCTCCGACTCCGACAATGACAGGGAAGGCGAAGCCCAAGAAGCATACCGCCAAGGAGATCGCCGCCAAAGTCGACGCTGCCACTACTAATCGTGGCGGTGGTAAGGCCGGCCTTGCCGATCGTAGCGGGGTTGAAAAGGGTGGGCATGCTAAATACGAGTGCCCACACTGCAAGATCACCGCTCCGGATGTCAAATCTATGCAGATTCACCATGACTCTAAGCATCCCAAGATTCCCTTTGAGGAGGACAAACTGGTGAATCGCCATGCCACCCATGCCCCTGAATCTTCCAAACCCCGACCCGGAGTCAGGGGTAGCTTTAAGAAGTGAAAGCTCCGCACTTATTTTGTTGGTGTTTTGGGTCTTTTTGGGTTATGGGTTTGCGTATTTTTTTTTCTACTTTAGTTGTTGTTATGGTAGTAATTATGGGATTGGGATTGGGATGGGAGTGGTTGATCTTTTAATTTCTTTTAAAACTCCTTATATGATGTATATTATTTATCTTATTAATGATGAAGATGATGTTTATGGGTTCTTAATTCAATGGAGGTGAACTATCAGTGCTATTATTGGTACTGTTGCTCTTCAATCTTGGTCAAATATGCTTGATTCTTGCTCAAGATCATATTTGACCCATTGAAATTGAATACTCTGTAAATTCATCCATGTTTATTGTTGTGTTGGAAATAGTCAGTTGTTCTTTCTTACCTTTAATTTTAATTGTGCCTTATAATGTGTATTGTTTAGTTTAGGGTTGTTTTAGAATGATTAGTCTTTGGGGGTCTTAAAAATATGCTAGGTGTGTGATCTTCCTGGGGCAAAGGGATGATAGGAGGATGGTCATCTTTTGTTGGTGCCTTTGTTGTGTTCTGAATGTGTATGATTTGTTTTGGAATGATGATAACTTATGAAACTCCTAGTAATGTGGATGGCATAAACTTGTTCTCAGCTCTTGTTCCCAATTTTAGCATTTTGGGAATCTAGTTAGTCATATTTCATTGAACATTTAAATATGTGGATACATTGGATTTTTTCGGTGATTATAGCACTTTTAAATGTTGCAACCTTCTGTGCTCAATCTGTTTGATAGTCTACACTGATGCCAAGAATTCTACCTTTTATTTTCAATGGGTTTCTTCACAAATTTCCAGTGCTGATCCTCATGGCAAGATCATTCACTTATTCACAGAGGGTTGCCAGGTGAAACTATCTCTACATAAAGCTATTATGTTTTACAATGCTTTCCACATGGGCAAGTTATTTCCACTGCAAGCTTTATAACTCTCTGTAATGTATGTCTGATGTTGGAATATCATTAATGTTGTCTTTCCTGTTTTTTGTTTTGATTTGATGTTGGAATGGAAGGACCATCTCTTCAAATTCTTTTACTTGAGTTTCATATACCTTGTATTATAAGCTCTGCCACAATATTCACTTCTACCTTGTCTTCTTTTAACATCATCACATTACTCTTTACTTCGATTCTTAGGGAATGATCGATTCTTAGGGAATGAGAGAAACATCATGGTACTATATCTTGAGTGTGGATTTTGGTATCTTTTCCTTACAGTCGGTTTCTTATGTACAAATATTATAGCATGTATGGAAGCGGTTGAGCAGATCTATCTATATAGGAATCCTTTATCATGATTCAACTCTCGGATTGTCTTTACCTCCATCCAAGTTTGCAAAGAATTCCTACCCTTGATTTTGAAGTATCAAAGAAGTATCAAAGAAACAAAATTCTAATTTGCTCTGTTTATAATAAGTCCTTTGTGACTTCTATGTGCCTTTTTAATCTTTTTTTTTTCTTCAAAAAAACAGAAGGCTGTTTTTTTTCTTTGGATCAACAACTTAATATGGTTAGAGAACCATGTTTTACAGTTTGAACTGTATGAAACTGTAAAATAAAAATTATTGGAGGGGGAGAAATGACTTAATATCAGAGAGTTTATTTTTATTTAATAGTTAATGTAGTACAATCTGGTATGACTTGGATTTCATTACAATTTTTTATTTGATTTATTTGCTTCCATTAAAAAAAACTTATGTTTGTTTGGATTCTTTAAAACTTAATAAATTTATTTGAGTAAATGCCTTTTGCCTTTTTGTGTATACTCCGTATGACATATTGCTGCAGTTCTTCTCGGCAAGGATTCGTCATAAGCAGTGCTCAAGAGCATCATCTCCTTAACGATATCAATTATACATACCCCATCCCACTTTGTGAAACTACATCAACACGTGCCTCGTCTATGAACACAATGGATGCACGAAAATACAATGGTGTTAAAAGGAAAAGAACCGGAGGGATGTCAATTGTGATTCGCAGGCTTCTCACATGAGTAAAATAAAGGTACCTATAATGAACCTTTAAAAACTTCTATTCCTCTGAAAACTTGTAAGAACCTTGACGGACAGAAACCATTGATAAAAGGGGGAATGCCCAAGTTCTAAATTATACTTGGAGTACTGCTCAAGTGCTCTACTAGACTGAAATTATCCATACTTATGTGTGTTTGAATTTTTATAAAAAAATTGACTCTTTTTTAAATTAAATTAACTTTGAGATTTAGTCAAACATTAACTGAATTAAAGTCAAATAACCAACACTTAAAAGTCAACTTCGAACATTTTAATTAGTTTGTTAGTATCCATTAATTTTACCTACCCTCACTCAAAGATTTGACTGGTCAAAGCCGAAAGTCAAATTCCTTTCAAAAGTCAACCTAAATTTCAATTTCTTCAATTTCACCCTAAATCTTTAAATCTCTGTTAATTTTACCCAAACATTTTCAATTTATTTCAATTAACTCCCTAAAAAATGCATTTTTTT